GATATTTTTGTTTACCCTGAATGGGGCTTTAATTGTTTATTGTTTCCTTAAGGACAGACAATTTAAACATATTTAAGAGGAAAAAAAGCCGCAGCTTTGCAGAGTCGAAGAGAGAATATTTTTCTTCCTGCTTCTCACTTTTGTAATTCAGAGAGCAAAATAACCTTGGAGGAATTGGCTTGAGAGTTTTGAGGAGAATTTACAGCTGTTTTTAGCTGTTTGAACTGAAAGATTCTTTAAATTGTTCCCCAAAATTGGTAGAATTTCCAAGTGCAGCACTTTCCTGTAGCACAACATTTTTAGTTGCTTATAGCTTTCACCAATTTTGATAATTTATTCTAGCTTTCCTAGAGGTCTGTGAGCAGATTGCCACATGTGCTGTATGTGATATACCTTGAAGCATGAAAGGCAGAAATATTCTAAATTTTCTCTGAGGAAAATATTTCTTGTACTTTGAGCAATCATAAGATGCCATCCAGAGGTGGCATCAGCTTCCTGGTTTAGGAACAATCATCCTGAAGTCAAATGTGAGCCAGTGGCAACTGGATGGTGTTTGGTGAACTTCTAAGTTTTTAACCCAAGCTCTGTAAACTCCTCACGGGGGTGGGTGCAGTGCACAAAACGTGCCTGTTGTCCCTAGTTCCATTTCACCAAGCAAAGTCTGTAGCTCCACCAGAGCCTGTTTTGGGAGCCAGGAGGTGAGCAGAGGGAGTGGGGTCAGCCCGGCGTGCTGTCCCGGAGACAGTGCTGCCAGCTGTGCCCCCTGCGGTCTGCACTGGTACCTGCTGGCCGGCAGGATGGGTGGGAAGGGGGGTCATTGTAAGAGCTGAGTGTTTAGCTTGTCCTCTTATCTCACACTCGCTTTGATATCTCATTGACATGATGTGGGATGATATCCAATTATAAATTAGGTGGGGTTTGAGGGTATGGGGGGAGGTTGGTGACAAAAGAGGAAAGGGAGTAAATCTCCCTTCTGTTTAAATACAGCACAGCAGCCAAGCAGGAGGGTCACATGAACACTTAATATGTTTGTGAAGTTGCCTCCCCAAATCGAGGTGAGTTCACTTGTGTGTTTAAGGGATAGCCTAACTGCCTATCCTCTTTTTAAGACCTTTGTGTCACCTGCTGGGAGCAGAATAATTTGTTAGAACGTTCTGCGTTACTTATCGTATGCCGTGTTACGAATGAGGTTGATCTGCATAACAGCCTTGCTTCACTTGCTGTGAAATTCCAGAGATGCCATAAATATAGCAGTGGGTTACTGGAAGAGGAATACTTCTGATAAAAATAGTAGACTGAGATCCAGCTGTCTGATTTTGCTACAAAGCTCCTGTGAAACTTGGCAAGTTGTTCAGCCTCTCCATGATGCAGTTTTATGTCTTTGAGGATGTTCTTGAACTGCACCAGACACAATGGGGGCTGTGCTCCCCACGGTCCGTGGGGCACCTCAGGAGGAGGAGGTGAGAGAGGGCGTTCGTACCCAGGGTGTGAATTAGGTCATACCCAGAAGGTAAGACAGATGAATAATAAAGATTAAGAAGAAAGTGAAGGGCTGACTCAGCTCTGTCCACCTGTGAGATGAATCATGGAAGGCATTTGCCTATAAGCATTATCTGATCGTAGCACTGGCCTGTATATCATTGTGTACATAAACACCGTTATGATTTTATAGGGTTCACATTGCTCTTTGCATTTTCAGTGTTCTCATAGACTATGCTTGACAGCTGTCTGCAAAGTACTTCATTTTAGAATAATATTTATATAGTGCAAATATTAAAAGCAATTTGTTTACGATTGAAGAATGTATAAATTGCTGGTGCTCAGAAAGTCCCAGAATTCCTTAAAATTCAGCTGCTATGTGTGGGTACCTGTGGGTCACTGTTCCTCAGGCCAGGGCTGTGCCATCTGATTGTGTTTTGCCTTTTCCAGATGGAGGAACCCGTTATTTGTTTGGATAACCACTACTAAAATATGGCATAAAAATCTGAACTGAAGTTTGGACTCTGAACTTTTCTGTCGGTTCGTTTTTATTGTTGTTTTGTTGTTGGCTGGTTGGTTTGGTTTTTTTGGGGGGTGGGTTGAGTTTTGTTGTTGTTTTTGAGGGGTGTTAACTGTTCATAAAATTTTCAGTTAACATTAATTTATTGAGAAATTAGTTCTAATGTGCCCTTCTAAAAACTCTGTAGAGGAGAAAGAAAAACTGTTTGTAGTAAACTTCAGAGTTTGAAAAGGAATTTCTGGCAGTTTTTCACGGTTCATGTTTATGGGAAGGTGATTGCATATGTAAAATGGTAAAGAAGCTTGGCTAATTTAGCACACGGGCTGTTAATAGCGTGAAGTCGGGGTGCGGAGGATAAAGGTAAAATTCTCACATCTGTTGTTACATGTTGTTAACTCCCTTAGCAGACATTAAATCATTTCAAGTACAATAATAGTGTGGGAGGTAAATTAACTAACCATTAACAATCTTATAAATACACAATTAACATGCCAGCATTTATATGACACATTGATGGGGCAGCAGTAATTTTTGATTGGGAGTTTGCAGACCTTTGAGAAGCCTGAGGCAGTTGCTTGGTTAAACAAGTTCTCGCTGCTTGCAGGTGAGTGTGGCCTTTTCTAATAAGCAGTGTGTAAATAATTCAGTTTCAAAAACATTCTCAGTGTACTTTTTAAAATACCCACACACTGTATACTTAGTTGTGCCTGTGTTCACGGAAGTCTGGCTGTACTAGTCCCACTGTTATAGCTTAAAGGGCTGTAACACATGAATTACAGACAGAAGTCGGTTGCCTTGTGGTAGAAGATTTGCCTTACGGGCTCTTGCTTTGAGGGCAGTGAGGAATCCTTCAGGGAGAGCAGCCCTACTTTCTGTAATGGAAATAGTCAGGAAAAAAAAAATAGAACTTGGGGCCTCAGCGTCGCTGCGGTTGGCAGGGACCTCTGGAGATCGAGTCCAACCTGCCAGCTCTGAGCAGGGCCAGCTAGCACGAGGCCCTGTCCAACTGGGTTTTGAGTATCTCAAGGATACTGATGGGGCTTATTTAGCTAGTAGTGTAATTTATTAAAATGTATGGTAGAAGTAGTGTACTAATAACAAGCAGCATGTCAGTTCTATTTCTCTATCGTTCTTTTTTTTGATTCCTTCTTGCTGCTGGGTCTGTTGTTTTAGTGTGACACTTTTCAGTTTGTCTGTATTTTGCAAGAGCAGAAAGGGCATAGTGTCTGTGAGAAGAAAATGGCAACACCTGTGACCAAGAGAGCCAAGAAAGCCTAACATGAAGGCTGTGAGGCTCTATCAGTGGAACGTGCCAATTAGTGCATGCTGATGTTTGGTGGTACGAAGGACACTGCTAGGAATGGTGGGTTTGCAGTCCAGAACGCACGTTCAAAATTTTACTTTTGTCATGATTAGGTGAGTTTACAAATGAAGTGTTACTTTTGTTTTTAACTTAACTCTTTAAATGCAGAAGCTGCTTCACAGGGCTGTGTTGAGAGACCTTTCCCCTTGGAATCATACAGGGGAAATGATGATATGTGTTGCTGCTCCTGGAACAAGCCTGTCTGACACTGACTTTCTTCTGCTAAAACCCATCAGGGAGAGGCCAACTGCCTTTACCAGATTTTTATGGAATATGGCTTTGTGTAATTCAAATTGTTTCTTTTCCTTTGGTATTTTCGTATTGCTGACAGGAGTTTTGCAAACAGCAGAGATCGGGAGGAGGTTGTTTTTTTCTATGTTCAAAATACTAAGTAAACACACTTAGTTTTATAGCTGGTATTAAAATGTTGGTTTTTTTTCTTAGCTGTGCAAAAATTAGAAAAGCAGCGGGGATTCTGAACTTCTGGAATTCACATCTCTGTGAGCTGAGACCTCGAGCCCTGCCAGCCTCCCTCTTCCTTGGGCCGAGGTCTCGCAGTCGCTCTGAGCTGGCGTGAGCGCCGCTGCCGAGAGGGGACCTCGGCTCTGCTCCTTGGGCCCTTCCTGCTGCCCCTGTTATGCTGGTACTGGTGCTCTTGCAGCTGTTCACTGGCAGACTCATCAGCCTGAAAATTAGTTTGGTTTTGTTGTGGTTTTTTTTCAGGTTATTTTCAGCAGGTCATTTTCTTTGATTGGACTCCCCTAGTGCTGGCCTTCGAGTGGTGGTGGAAATGTCTGACCAGAGACAGACAGGAGCAGGGACTAGCCCCTTTCAGAGGCAGCCCAGGCTTGAATTAGAGTAACTTAACTGTAAATCCACAGCCACAGTAAAACAGGGTAACAGTTCAGCTGTGGTTAGGGATTTGTGGTGGTTGGTTTTTTTTTCTCTTTTCTGTTTTGCCCTCCACTTTGCTTCACAAGGCCAATTGAGTAGTCTGAATGAAATCTTTTAGGTAAGTGGAAATTACTGCTGTTGAAGTGCTTAAAAATTTAGGTGTGTGGTATATTGTCACAGAACTTTTTCTGTATTAAAACAGTTGCCCCATATGAAGCATCATGCAGATGTTCAGTATTCTGCCCTGAACTACTGGTGTCTTCATGTTTTTTCTGGAAATACAAAACCTGAAGAGGGTCTCTAATAAAGTAATCAAAGAGTTGGTACAGAGGCAGAAGAAAATTGGTAATAAGCTAGTATGATGAGTAAAAAGAAATTCAGAACTGTATCTGGTTTTGTAAATTTCTTAGTTTGAATGGATAGATGCTTCTTTCATGTATTTTCTCTCCCCCCTTCTATGTGTAGTGCTTAAAATATTTTGAGTTACAGCAGCTTTTTGTTGTAGAGTAGTGGAACTTGTCTGTAGGTGTCTGTTGTGTTCTCTTGTCTTGGGATTTGGCTTCAAGCAGTCCTCCAAAACCATGGCTCTTGAAGTGGGTCTCAGCAAGCAGCACAGCTTGTTAGGAGGGGTCACTGCCTGAAGCGTGGGACGGTTCGGCTTTGTGCACCCAAAGTACAGACCTTCAATCAGAGTTCTGCCTTGTTGCGATTGTTTTCTAAAACACATGTACATTCTATTTCTAGGTACATGTGTCCATGGAACAAGATGGAGAGAAGATAGTATAGTCAAGTGGTGGACTTGTGGGCAGAATGGCTTTCCTGGACAACCCAACAATTATACTTGCTCATATTCGGCAGTCACACGTGACCAGTGATGACACAGGGATGTGCGAAATGGTCCTAATAGATCATGATGTCGACCTGGAGAAGTTTAATCCCTCGTCAGCATATGGGGACAGTGGTTCTGAAACACAGGGAAGCAATGGTGAGACTCAGGGCTATGTATATTCCCAATCAGTCGATATTACCTCAAGCTGGGACTTTGGAATCCGAAGACGATCAAACACAGGTAAGCGACATCTGCAGCCCAGATGACATGAGCCTTCTACATTCAGTTGCTGTTACTCTGGCTTGCATGGACAAATTGGAGCACGACCAGCTGGGTATCTGTCAAACTTTTCCTTTTGTAATGTCAAGACCCTTTTTATAAAAGGATGTGTAATGATTCAGGTACTTCAGTGTGCTGTCAACTGAGTTTTAATTGCTGTTTTACTTATTCATGTATAGAGGAACATTGAGGTAGTCAGTTTTATATAAAAAAAAACCCACTAAATTGTAAAGACATCAAGTCTAAATCCAACATACATGAACGGTCTTTGATATTTCCATTGTTACTGTCTGGAAGGTTGTTAACTTTTGAACAGGATAGTTATTTTTTGAGAAAAGTCTACCTAGTGAGGCATCAAATCTATTTGTTATAAAAGAGAGGAATGAAGTTTGATGTGAGACAACAAAGTGAATGACTTGTCTCTATTTTGTCTTCAGAAGTTTCATTTCTGAGAAGAACCTTGAGCTAGGATTTAAGTTCCCAAATGAGAAGGTTTAAGGTGTACCTCTTTTAAAATCTGCTCAGTGTGGCTTGGCTGGAGGAAAGCTGTCGCATTTGTTGTTTCATATGAGGGACATTCAGACTCCTACCTGTACCCAAGGAATGATATCAACAAAAGTTCAGCGATATAAAGTATCTATGGAGAGGTTGGTGTGGAGTGGTCGGTACTGATCTCTTTTTCTGTGTTACGATACATATATTGTTTCAAATGGTTTCTGAAGGTATTATAACACCACCTAGAGCTCAGAAAAAACATCTCTGCTCTACCTAACAAGTAAAATGTTGTGTGGTATTGAATGTTTTGAAATACCTTTTACAAAAAAAGCTCTCAAAAGCTACAGAGGAGAAGGGGCGCAGATCTCTTGTAATGAGTTAGCTTTGGAAATAAGCTGGATCTAGAGCTGGAGCTGACTCTGAGGCGTGGTGCAACGTTCAGTGTGCCAGACTGCCAGGCACTATCCTTGAGTCTCCTTTAGTTCAATTGATGGTGTAGTTGATGAGGAAGGAGAGGCAAGGTTTCAATTTTTATGGAATTTATCAAAAAAATAATTCTGGAGGGTTATTTCGCCAAGTGAGTAGGTTGATGGAATAATCTCCATGTAAACTATATTTGAAACCATTTAAGTTTCCAGTTGGTGGCATATTCTCAAATAGTGGTTAGGACAATCCAGGAGGCAGATTTTTGCCTCTCTTCATCTGACATGTCTTTTATGTTCCTTTGTGTGTGCTGGTACCATGAGGAACCTGATGCAATTATCAAGGCAACCAGCCTGTGATTTGGAACAGAGCAGGATGGAAAAAAGCCCACAAAGAATGAGAGTTCATCTGTGCTGAACCCTTTTGAAAAATGCAGGAAGAGGAGTAAATTAACCCTAACTGAAAGTTAACTATTTTTCATGTAAATGCTTCTTGCATTACACAAGTGCTTAGATAAGTAAGAAGAAAAGAGATATACACATATATGGAACAAAGTGTTCATACTTCTTCCAAGTACAAAAACTCCTTAACTGAAATCTGCAGGTTTTGCTCCTAAAATTTTGAGTTTCTACAGGTAGCAGTGGCAGGGTGTTTTTAAACGTGCAAGCTCTTCCTTATTCTCCTTGGTTTTATACCCTGCTAAATAAAATTATTTCTGCTTATACTGTATTTAACCATTGGTTTTGAATGGAGTGTAACTTTTTATTATCTTTTGCAAACCTGCTTTATTATAAAGTACCTTACCAGGATAGTATCTTTTTAATGAATTATAGAAATCATGTATTACTGTAGAAGACACAACACATCTCTATAGAGGCTCTAGAAGTGTTGATTATTAGGTGGTTCTCATATGGGTATGCAAATTTGGAAAGTAATTTTATATGCATTCTAGCATTGGTTATCCCCTTAGTCCTGAAAGGAATGTGCAGTGGGCAGGACATGTTGGGGTGTTGCACATCATGTCTGGGGAGAATGCAGGGTGCTCTGCCACTGAATTCTCTGCAGCTGGATGGGCCATAGGTGGTCCTTGGCTCTGGTCTCCATCTCCTCACTGCTGCCCTTCTGACATGTCCACATTGGGTAAGGGGAGAAAAAAAAAGGTGGAGACGGGTCTGTGCAAGGGTTGGGTGTGTGGGAAAGCAGCAAATTCTCCCAATCCACACTAGTAGAAACAATGGCTCATCTAGTTACTAATAGTGAAACCAGAACTACAGCTGGTCAGTGACATTCTTCACAAAGAAAGCTTTCAAACTAGCATGCTTCTGGAAGAAAGAACCTTGAATAATTCAGACTTCTAATAGGTACTGATCATTCTATCTAATTTGGAGTTGCTATAATACAATCCCACATTATGTGATCATTGTGATCAGCTGTGGGTAGAAGAACAGGATGGAGTTGGTGAGGAGGATGACTGTGCTTCAGTATGTTTGTTTTGACAAGGGGTGAAAATACCAAATAGGATAGAAACTGGCATTATTCTTCTATATTTTTTCCTTTATCCACTGTTTACATGTAGCCTAACATTTTATGATGGCCCATTTGGGAAGAAGGGGTTTTGGAAGGTAATTTTTAGCTATAGCCTGAACAGTATTCAGAAGAAAATGAGTTGTTTGGTGTTTTTTTTTTCCCCACAAGAAATCATCTAGGCTACAGTGGTGTTTTACACAATATTTAAACTTATAAGAGAGAATACTTACTTCATTTAGAACAAGATACATAAAGGTATTTAGGCACTAACATCATGTTGACTTAATGGGAAATAAGCATCAAGGTCCCTGTTTGTGTTTGTACCTTAAATTAGTTGTTACAGCTGTTAAACTTCAAAGTATTATTTTTTTCATCAATTCCCAGATTGGGAGCTTTTATGGGGGTGAAAACAATCCTTTCTGTGTCCACAATTCAATTTAAAAATGAAATGTAAAACAATAATAGTAGGAGGAGGGGTAGAAAATATTTATTAACTTTTTTTTTTAATTGGTGACATGGCTTGGGGAACTCAGATTATATCTAAAAATTGTCAGAGTAATTTAGCATTTTGGAATCTCTTCTACAAACCCATTTTAGTTAATGAATGATCTCAATCTATCAAAATTGCTAATATACCCAGCAAACTGTTTCCTTCAGTGAACAACATTATTAGTTCTACTTTCCGCTCTCGTCTGCTTTTTTCTTTTGAGTGGACGCTTCATAACATCCATTCTTTCTTGTGGCCATTGCCTTGGGTAGCTTCTGCCAAGTCTAGCTGACCATTTCCTGAGGGACCATGCTGTTAACAAAAAGATAATTTAAGTTATCGTCTGGTACCCTAGTCTGTAAGTTCTTTGATATTGTAACTGGTTGAGGCTTTTTTCAAACCATATTTTGAAGATGGAGTCAAAATATATGTAAAGAAATATTAGATTCATTTTAAGATTTGACTAATGTTGTGAAGATACAAATCATTTATTTTACTACCTATAAACTGTTTCAGCACACTGAAGAAAAAGCTATGCTAATTTATATAGCTTTGACATTTTATAATTTTCATGATTTTTAGATAAAGGATTTTATATTTAAAACTTTAATAGTCTAGTCTGAGTTCATTTATCTTTAATTTTTGAAACGGGGAGAGTAATTCATAACAGTAATTTTATTCCTGTAATGTAATATTCACTTCAGTTCATTTGTGCATTAAAATTCCTTTAAGACCGTTATTAATGATTTATATAATGAAATGTCATATTAATCACAGAAGTTTTCACATTTTATTATTCTCTTCCATGTTAATACTATCTTTATGATCTCTATTAATGTTTTATATCCTCTAATTTCAATTATAAATCAAGAACATTTTCATGTTTTTGTTGGTATTTGCTTTTCAGGGGTGCCACCTTTAAAATTTTATGACTTTTTCCCTTTTTTTTACATATGCGGTATAAAACATCTTTATTCATACAAAGGTAGTTAATTATGTCTTTGTTTATAGTAAACTTTCATTGACAAACTTATAGTTATAATATTTCTTTTCAAGCTCAGAGACTAGAACGTCTGCGGAAAGAGAGACAAAATCAAATAAAATGCAAAAATGTTCAGTGGAAAGACAGAAATACTTCTTACTCAGGTAAAAAGAAAAGATCTTTTATTTTCCTACTATTTTTCTTTCTGCTTTTGATGGTTACAACATTGTCAGTTTGTAATGTTCACTTAAGCTTTCAAGGCATAGAGAAATACTGATTGCTGTGTTTGCCTTCCATGCCCTGCCTGCGTGTTTCCTGCAGTGTCTTGGGGGGGGTGCCACAGGTATCTTTGTTTGCAGCTGTGACTGGGATGTTCCAAATTATTAGTAAAGGCAAAGGGAAGGAAAAAAAATCTTTAAAACCTGGTTTGTATGAACTAATTCCAGTGGTTGCTTTATCATTTGCAGTATAACACTGTATTAATACAGTGTTTGCATATTGTGTTGCCTTGTAGCATCATTGTCTTCTAAGGCCTCTATTGTCCTAAGTGAGCAAGAAAGGGTGATAGTAAAGCTCTTGGTGTTACTGTGAGGTGTGTGAGGAGCAGGACATGTCCCTGCACCTGGGGCAGCTGCTTGGCAATGTTTGTGTTCAAAATGGATGCTTGTTATCTCCATGTAGAGTTAGAGATTTCTAACTATTTCCAGTGACATTTGGTGTACTGGAGGTAAGGAAGAATTTGACAGAGCTTGCTTTTATAGAATATTTTTATGGTTAGTTTTCTAGATAAGGTGAAAAACTTAGGTTGTATCTATACAAACTACATATATGAAAGCACAGTAAAGCTGCCTTTGCTGATCTGTCCTTTCCTTGGAGAAACTATTATAAAAATATGCTGTTCTCTTTTTCATAATTGTATAATTTTCTGACTGGATGTTCTACATAGTTTAAATTATAATATGTTAAATGAAAAATCTGTCCCAGTTCTCGTATTTTATAGCTCAAGCTAGTATGTGTTGTATTTGACACACATTTAAACCTTTGTATGGTCTGTCATGCCTACTTCTTTCAAAATTTGTGTATATCTTAATGAGGTCCCTGTGTAATCTTCTTCTTTCTCCTAAATCCTTGTATCTTCCTGGCTGTCACTTGCAGAACCTTCTCCAGCTCTGTAATATCTTTTTTTAGAGGAGGAACAAAGCTGCTCACATGAACCACACAGTTGCACTAATCCTTAGTACAGTGTTCAGCTAGGTTTGATATCTCTGGTAACGCATTCTAAAATGTTTTTGGCTTTCTACTTCTGTAAGTAGAGTTGTAGGTTTTGAAGTTTAATCTACCATAACCTCCAACTCTCTTTGCTCAGTATTTTTTAGCATTTGACCAGTGATGGTGCAGTTTCTCTATCCCTAACTATATACAGCTTGATATTTCCTTAAACTGAATTACACTCGGGCTCTGTTTTCCTGCTGGGTGTGTGCTGCTTGTATCATCTTATTCACCTGGGTTCCACTGTGACATTTAGTTCCTTTTACATGCTGCCCTGAAGACAGGCATCATCTGTCAACCAGCAGTAACGGAGGTGTCCCCCTCTGTAAGAAAGTGCTGGGGTTGCAGTCCTGCTGAAGAACATATTTGAATAAAAAATAAGTTGCATAAAAACTGCAGGCACTCGGTGCATCTGTTTATTGGCAGAGCTGATTTTCCTACTCTGCTTAGTCACTGAGCCTCTGCATGTTCCTCACTTATTTGCCTGAAGAACTACACGGCAGGGAGAAGCTGGGAAAAAGAGGAGCCCTAAAGGATATCCCGATGTATCTTCCCCTTCATCAGATGTGTGTGTATGAGGCTTTGGCACTTCTGTTCCTTCAGTTTAATGTTATTGGAAAATGTATATGGAAGCAATAACAACAGAAATAGGTGTTCTCAGATGGGGGGAATTTGGCTGCTGTCTTCTGACTCTATCTGTGCTTTAGACAAAGTCAAGTTGATGGTTGATGCCATGCAAACCAAAAGGATGCTAGAAAGTGGTTGTTTTGTGTTCCAGTGTTCCAAAATTCTGATGACACCACCTCCAGAGGTCACACATCAGAGGGAGAGATACATCACTGCAGAGAGAAACTCCCTAAGCATTTCTACTGTCCTGCAGTTGGATATGTGGTTGTAATGCGAAGCATTTGGCAATGGATTATTTTTTGTGATGCCCATTTTTAATTACTATGTACAGAAATAGAAGTACACTGACCAGGATAAAGGGAACTGAAAGACAAGTAATTTTGTGTATGGTAATTAGGGGAAAAAGAGTATTTTCTACTCATCTATTTGCTCACTGTCATGAGACTGTTTGCTTTGCCAGGAATTAGTTTGACAGATAAGGTGGTAGTAGTGCATGGACTTAAAGAGGAAAATCACCATGTGTTTAGAGCTGGTTACAGGGTTTACAAATACAAAGGTGCTTCAGGGGTAGTTGTCTGACTGGAAGTAAAGTGTTAACCAAGTGGAGGTGTGGGGATTTTTGTTCTGCTACTAGGGCCACCAATTCACATCACATTTGTGTTCAGTTCTTTTTCAGTAAAATGAAAAGAATGTTTCAGCTTTGTGCAGTGTAGAGTTCAAAAGTCATTAGTAGTCTTCTGTGGGTCCTACAAATCAAGTAGGGATATACATAAAAAAGGTTACTTCTTTTTATAAAATACTAGGTGGTTTTAGATGAAAAGAAGAAATAAGGCAACATTTACATCTTACATTCATTCATTCATTCCAGAGCATATAAACTGTAAATTTACAATATATGGAGGGAATCTTTCAGTAGCCTTGCATTCAGCCCGTGTGGAACAGCACATAGATGACAAAACAAAATACAGACAGCACAGACTGACAGCAAAATTTAGTTTTAATTAAGAACTAAAAATTATGCAATTAAAGCTGGTATAATGTAAAAATATGCAGTGGTTTGTTTTTTTTTCTCCCCTGAAATTTGAGGACTTTCAAATTTTTTAAAGTATTTTTAATTGGAACTCGCAGCCTGAGTCTGTTAGGAATTATTTGACAGAATGCTCAGTGGACGATGGTGGTTTTTCAGAAATCTCATCTGTCTTCTAGCTTTTTAGAAAAAATATTTAGAAGGTTTTGGGTTCATCCTAAATGAGTTGAATATTTTGAAATGATTAAGTTTTCTGGAAAACTGTACCTCAGCCAGCTGAATGCAGTCTTATAGAATGTACTGTTATTTAAACCATTCATGTGAGATATTTGACTTGAGTAAAATCTGTACAAAACTCAAAGCAAAACAGGTATTACACAAATGAATTCTGAAGAAATCTTGGTATTCTCTTTTTGCACATCCCAACAAAGGAAAAATAAACAAATCATCTTATTGTTTCCCTAAAAAAACTTGCAGATAAGACTTGATTTTTTCACTTCAACCCTTAAAACCATTATATTGGATTCTAAGGTGCAGAGTACTTTCTAAATGCCCAAGAAATACCAGTTAAGAGTAATACTCTAGCATAATTGTAATTGGGATTTAAATAAACAAAAAATTAGCTTGTTAAAAACCCCAGAATACCTAATGGAGTTGAAGTTGCCACGTTTAAACAGGATTTAATCAAGTTTTTTTGGTTAATCGCAGCCTCTCACAAGACTGTTGGATATCTCTTAGTGCCAATATTTAGCACTTTTGCCAACTGTCTGAATTTTCAGGCAATCTGCTGATAAAAATAAACAGAGCTTTTGACTAGTTATAATTTGACAAGTTTTAATTTTGCATTTTAAGAAATTAACCAACTCCCTGCAGATCGGGTTCCAAGTCCTTCTGCCTCAGCAGTTTCCTTTCCCTGGAGGAGCAACATGTAATTCTTTGAGATACAAGAGAATCCAAATGTGGGCAGGTGGAGCAGAGCAGAGTCGGTCTGAGGGAGCTGGTGTTGGTTCTTGGGTAGTGATTGATGGAGTCTGGGGGTACTTGGTTCCTAGAGCAGATGTGGAAAAAAACTTGTCCAGGCTCAGTCACGGTTTCTTGCAGATGAGACCCATTGGTACTAATATGCTAAAACACCCCAGGCTCTGTCCTCATTTTGCAGTGTCCTTATAACATAAGAAGCCCTATTTTTTTGTTGTTGTTGGTTTTGTATGCCTGCAAATTTTGAGTTAAACTTGCTGGAAATTCATCTAGGGAGTTCCTTCAGATAAAAAGCTGCTTGTTGGAATCTTTTGTGAACCTTCACAGACCACACAAAGAGCTAACTAACTTAGCACCTTTGTTTTTAGAAAGCTTTTCTTTAATTGTCCAGATTGTTTTTCTGGGATGGTGTTTTCAGGTTTAACACTTTTTTTTTTTTTTTGAGAAATGACCATATCCAGTCTATCATGGGAAGTAAAATCTGAAGAAATTATTCTTCTGCATCAGATGTAGTCCAAAGCCTACTGCTGGCAGCATAGTGACAACATAGTGTAGCAATGGGGTAGTGTATTATTGTCCTGTAGTATAACATCATGTGTTACAAGCTCAGTTTGAAATGCTTTTGGAGGGCATATTGTAGATCTGTCAACAGTTCTTCTGCATAGCATTTATTGTTCATTTAGAAAAAGGCAGACAAACAAAAGACCAGGACTACCTAATTCTCTCTTTGAATCTTATCATTTTGACTTGAGTGCATCTTGTAGCAGTCAGTTCCATTCTTCAGTATGGGGAAAAAAGTCATCATTTCCTCAGCCTAAACAGAATGTTATTTGAAATTCTTATGGTTTCATATCTTTGGGCTATGAAAAAGTGGTGGTAGATTATGCCCTGCTAAAGCATTTGTTGTTTTATATATTTGATTTTGCTCTCCCTCTTGTAGTGTTATCTTTCTGTGGTGAACAGTAGCTACTCTACATCTCTAGAATAACTAATCTGTTTTCTATCTACAGCAGAGGAGCTGAGCTCGCTATTTGAAAAAAAGAATTTCAGAGTAAAATCTCCGTGTTCTGGGAAGCAGTCAATACTGTCTGTGCGGCTTGAACAGTGTCCTCTGCAGCTGAATAACCCCTTCAATGAGTACTCCAAATTTGATGGCAAGGTAAGTGGACCAGATGTTTTTCTCTCATATGTAGGAGGTCCCTAACCTAAAGGTGATAGGCCTTAGGCAGTTCTCGGCTGCATTTACTTGTTCAAACTTTAATTAGATATTACAGTAGGCCATCCATTATTTTTAAGTGGTTATCTAGAAATGTACTTCTCTTAATCTTAAGTATAATGGTTCCAGGTTCGGTGGAACCACTCCTCCCCTTTTAATTTCAAAATTATGTCCTTACCTTTAGGTGTACCTTACCTTGCTGTTTGCTTCTCCAGCAGGTTAGTTAGGCAAACATTTAGTGTGGCAGAGTCCTAGGACATCTCTCTACAGAGATGGTGGCAAGACTCTTTGTATACCTGATTGGTTATTTGGCATTTTAAAAAAAAAAATTTGTTCTGTCTGTTAAGCCACATCACAGCACTTGCTGAATATTCATTCCATGATTTATGCTGTCTTTATCCTGAAAATACTCCAATGGGAGTGGGGAAAAGCCACTAGCTGTTTTGAGGGCAGAAGAGTAAAGCCTCAGTAGGTCAGTCTCTGGGTGGGGGAAAAAAGGACTGAACGATGTAGTTGTACTCATTTATGTCATACGTGGAGGAGGTTCACTACAAACCTGGTAGGTCAAATTCATTCCTTGCCTACATTAATTTTAAGAGCTTTCATTTGATGCTACTCAGAATTGTAGATAATTGTCTCGTGTGCAGCTTACTCTGTATTGTCAGATATCTTTCTCTGCTGTAAACTCTAAAAAGGGAAATATAAACATCAGTGTAATGAATCAGTGTCATATTGTTCCAAAACAATTATAAATACTGCACATATCTGTTTTCTGCTGGATTTGTTTTTGGAATCTCCTGTGGGAGTATGAAGTTTGAGCTTCATTACCATTGTGATGGAAGAATTTCATATTCTGTTAAGTATTCTTGAAGTGTAAAGTCAGATGTGTAATTCCACTAGCATATCTAGAGGTATCTAGAATATATATGAAATGATAACTCTCAGACTATGAAGTTCACATAGCAAAAGCTGCCTCTATTGTTACTTTACACTCACTAGTATGTGATAATTAGTGCTCAGTCTTTAAAAACTTCTGACCTCATGAATAAACAATAGCAGTACTTTAATGCTGACAACACTAAGATGCCTTTTTTCTAAACTCAAAGTTTGCTGTTATTACATTGTGAAATTTGTTTGGCAGACATTTAATTGTATTTCCAACAGTCATGCACGGAGGCAGGAGAGAGAAAATAATTCTATATTAAGAGAAATTTATTGTAATTCCGTGGTGTCCTAGTCTTCTTGTTGAGCATGATTTGGGCTAACTGCTAGAATTTTTCTTAGAAACTTGAGGCAAACTTAATCATGTTTCCTTTCCACTTTGATAGTTCATGCTACTTTTTACTGTATTTATAGGAACTATGATTGATTGCAGTTAACATCTTAATTTTCATATTTTAAAGTCTTATGCATTTAGCAGGTGTTTGGTCCGTTTGAAAGAAATTGTACTATTGATGGAATGCCTCAGTGTTACCCAATTGTGATTGTAGAGTATGATAGGAATCAACTCGATTGTGATCTGGAAATCAACATACCTTTTTAATTTCCAAAAATAATTGAATTGGCATTTTGTTAGACTATAATCTCACTATATTAACTTTAACAACATTATTTATATTAGTCTGATAAGTTTATTCAGTAGTATGCTTATAAGATTTATTCTCAATACTTTCATATGTATTGTCTATTTTAAAATATGTATTTGACCATCTGAGATATAGAAGTAACATCATTCAGTAGTAAGTTGCTTCACTTCTGCTTTGTTGTATTTTCAGGCAGTAATGTAAAATTGAAAACCATCTAGCTTTTAAAAAATATTTGTAATTTTTTTTAAAAAATAATGAAATATTGTAGGTCTTGTGTTTTTATTGATAATAGATGAGCAGTATTTTTCACATAAATACAATTCTTTCAGGGAATAGTGCATGACTTATTTACATAATTAACAGAGCCACATATCTCATGGGGAAATGGTACATAATTGGGGAGAGGCAGGGGGGATGAGGAGGGGCTAGGGGCCTAATTAAACATGTCTTAAAAAAACCCTGCTTAATTATGTATTTACTCAAGGGATCACAGTGACTCTGAAATCTTTAATATTATAACTAGGCCTTTAGTTCATATCTCTATAATATATTTGAGTTTTGTAACACAGATTTCAGCTGGTTGAGTAACACTGGTTTTGTGGTTCACTGGCAGAGCCTGAGGAGAGCTCTTTACTTGCTGTATCCAAGCTCTTTGTTCACGTGCGTTCTCAGCTAACTGACTTCTGAATGGCTTAACTTACCACGAGTTCAGCTCCCTAACTGACCTGAAATCAAATAAAACCATTCTCTTCAGGGTCCTTCCCACCCAATCCCTCCAACGTTTGATGTATTGTTTTAAGCTAATCAGTTAAAAATAAAACATTGCATGCTGTAATATCAACCAAGCCACTTTATTAAAATGCTTACATCTTGCATGCATTCCCTACCAGATTTAGTGTCTTTTTTCATAACCACTTCTGCAATTTTATGAAATAATAAAATTCTAAAGCACTTTAATTTCTTCTTGTTCTAATCAGTTAATTATCAAAATAGTAGAGAATATGGCTTGTGAAATGCAGCTACAATGGAAGCATCCTAATCAGCTCAAGAATTCAGGTGGTTCTTGTGCCACATCTACACAGGACAAATCTGTGGCTTCTGTGTATGTTGCAAAATTTCAGTTTTTAACAGAAGACTCACACAGTAACTATTCTTGGCCATCTCTTCAAGCATGTCCTTAAAGTAGTTAAAGTAAACCTAACCCCTGCATCTGTTCTCATGGCTTGTAAATCATGTGGGTTAAAACAACTTGGTTAACAAATCTTGAAAACTCTTGCTAAGACTATTTGTATAAAAAGAAGCCTTTAGTTAGTTATAATTACTTCCGTTGCCATTTATACAGAAAATTACTTGAAGGCTTAAGAAATAGGTGGCCAAATTGTTTTCCATTATCAGCATACAAATGAAATTATCGGCCATCTTATGGATGTAAATTTGTGTATATTTCTGTTTACAGAATTTGGAAAATCAGACTTTGATGGCATATTATTCCAACTTGCTGTCTTTTGATAAGGCTGGGAAAATAATACTGACTGCACGACAGGTTTGAAAGTCATAGCCAGGTACCAGAAATGAAAGAAGTGGTGTGGCTCCTTTCAGTGACACAACTGTGAGATTCACAACGTTCAGTTCAACTCCACTTTACCTTCCTGCTTTCATTAATTGTTTTAAAAGCATGTTATCTTTTCATTCTACAGAAACTCAGAATATTTCTTATCAAATCACAAGTGTAATTTGCAGGAGTTGGTGGAAAGCATAGTGATGAGCTTTCTCTGAGATATTAATCTTAAAGGATGCTGATTTAGTACAGTATTAGTGTCAAGGCTATTCAACTGCATGACCATTCCCACTAGCAAGAAAAACGTTACCAAGATGTATTTAGTTACTGGAATAAAAGAAAATCATGCCAGAATTAAATGTTCAGCTTTGTAGCAACCACGTACTGAATGAGTAACTCCTGCTAAGGCCTCCATTTACAGTTCCCCTTGAAATCATCTCTGAAGCCAGTCCACATCCATTTTTCTTTCAAGTTTCTGCTACCTCTAAGAAATATTAATCACTAAAATGTCGGTTTCATTTTTGAGATGCTTGCCACCAAATGGCTGCTCCTGCATCCCCAGAAGAGTGTCAGCAAATGCAGAAGCATTGCAGGACAGTCAGAAAAGAGGTGCTGAAGATACGCAGAATAGTCAAAGAAGAAAGTTGAGCAACTTGAGTTACGAGGCGAAAAACCTTTCTCACATGCAGACTGGAGCTTTCTCAAGATATTTTTACTTCTATTTTTATGACTACTGGTTAAAAGTGAATATTTAAGGAAGTCCAACTTTTCTGATCTTATAGGGTTTTTGTGGGTTTACTTGGCTACTGGATATAATTAAAATAAAAATAGGTCAGCATGTTTCTATCTGGACAGATGCTAAAAATCTTCTTGTGAGGAATGGTACCTCTGTGTAGTGCTACACAGTTTCCTGTGGCTGATTTTGGTAATGGGTTAAAACCCAACAATTTCTCTTGTAGTAACTGTTTTAAAAATGATGCATGGGGGAAGGGATAATTCATGAGTGCTAATTGCTTGGCTGTTAATTTTCATAAGTGTTGATAGAAGCAGTTCCTTAAATTAAACTTTGTTTAAAATGTATCAGGGGAAATATTCCACAATGTCGGGCCTGAAGTGAAAATTAATATGAATGCTGTGGCAATTAACACGTACTGGTTAATAGCTTTTAGCAGCATTTTGGGATGATAGTCCTTAAATACATTTTTGCATGCTGCTCTTGTTTCAGTCTTGTTTGACTGTATGTGTGGATAATCATGAACAAATGTTTCCCACAATCTCCACTATTAAATAGCTTTACTCAAAGCAAGTAGATAAAGAACTTAAGAAAGAAGCAATACTACTTTAATTAATATGGAAGATGTATAAAATAATCCAGGATTAAAATACCAGTGTGAAAAAATGCTGCTTTTTTTATTGAAATGTTTTGCCCCTAAGCTGAGTAGAATGATCCTCATCTGAATCCTAAATTTGCATAGCAGGGTTTTTAAGCATTTGCTTGCTCTGCCAGTTTTAGTGGTTTACTTACTACCTGTATTCCACTCAGCCAGCTGGAGCAGAGGTGTTTGCAGTGTTGTGATGTATGCAGTACCACATACAAGCGAACGTCGAGCTTCTATAAAAGCCGCAGAACAGGTTTTTAGTAACATGGGCTGCTGCCTCTTGCTCAGCCTGGCTTGAAGTCTGTGCTGCAGTTCTTCAGAAAACTAGGTACCAGAAACACGTGATGGCATCGTGCTTTCCCTTTGGTGTCCAGCAGCTCCCTGTAGAAGTCATCACACAGTCAGGAGAACCTGGAGGAGAAAGCTCCCGTAGTACTGAGACGCTCTCGGCCCGGTGCCGTAGGGTCTCCTAGCTCTCTGCTGCAGCATCAAGGGCTCTGCTGTGTAGAGGGGGATGCCTTTAAGATTCTTAACTGAAAAACTGCCACTTCTATGATGAAATTTTATTTTAAAATGATGAACACGAGTCATGCTAATAGCCAAGTTGTATTTAAATAAACCACCCCTGTATTAGGCATGCTTAGTTTGATCTTTACTGTGTCAAGGCTGTAATGATTTTGATACCTAATCAGTGCATTTAACCATTTCCTCTGCCCCTGCAGATTCAGTGGTTTTTGCTGGGTAGAGGGAAGCCTGTCATGGAGGAACCAAATACTGTAATGGAGGTCAGAGAACACAAGTCCTCACATTTCCATACAGTGACTAGAAAAGAGTCAAGCTTAATATATTTGAATTTAAAATACTTCAGAATGTGTTTTGTTATTTTACATAGGAAAAGCCATTTACAGTGAGTTAAGGAAGCACCGTGTAGTGGTGGCTGAACACTTAGTTTAAGTAAGTGGAAGCACAGACAGAAAACCATTAGGAATTCTGTGGTGGGAACAGTCGTGTGAATTCCCTTCATGTAGGTGCAGCAGGGGACAGCTGTGCATGTAGGACACTGTGGGTTGTCTTCCTGTGCCCATGGTGGCTCTGGCACCTTGCAGAAACAATGCAGCCACCCTGCAGCCACCCTCCTTGCCTGAACTGTAGCCTGGGGTAGCAGATAAGGCAGCTGAATGTCAGTGTTGCATTGTCATCTCTGTTTGGGTACTTGAATTTTATCTCACAATTCCAGGCCTCTCACTTTCATTAAAAATATTTTTCTGGCCTTATGCAGATTAAATTAACGTGGATCTGGTTTGATTAACTTTGGCTTGGGGGCACATTCAATTCACTTCTCTGTTTTCTGTTCTTGCTTCTGTGGCTTTTGTTGCTGTTGATTGTAGGTGCCCTTACTAGGCTGCGTTCCTGTCTTACAGAGGAGATGTTCTGTTGAAACTGGATCTGGTTTTGTTCGTGGCTAGTTGCAGTCTTTGAACTCGCTGAAATGAGACAACAGTCCTGCCCCAATAGTATTTTCCAAAGGACTCAATTGTTTTCTGAAACCCTCTGCGCTCTGGCATTCCCATGTCGGGAATGCTTTATCAATACAGCCACGCTTCTGACACTTAAACTCTGAGTAAGATGATCCTTGAAAGTAAGTTTTGGAGATCTGCAAAGTATGCTTGTATGTAACAAAGAATTAAATTGATTTGTTATGTGTGCATTTAGCTACAATTCATTTTAATTGTCCTTACGAAGTTAAAAAGTATTAGCGTCAGATAAAGATTCATCACCATAGTTTGATTTAAGGCTGGTGCTATAGAAAGCAGGCATGTGTTCTGGCAGATGTTTATATAAGGCACTGTCTCTTCTGACAGCAGTTAAAAAGTATGGTTGTAGTAATCAAATTGTGGTGCAGCATCTCAGAGGCTAGAACCAGATTGAATTAAAATAGATATAAGATTTATGAATAGCAATAGCTGTGATAAAATTTCACTACCTTCTTTAATGGGAAGGACCTTTACACAGTATAAGAATAAGATTTTAAATTGTGCCTTCCAATTCTATGATTTTTCTGATTTGTATTTGGTTT